ACCACCTGTTTCCTGGTGGGTGTGATAGAGGATGAGCATGTGTACAGATCTCTCTTAATTGTTCAGAAGAACAGTTGAGGGTGAGTTGTGCTGGTATTTGTCATCATCTTTCACTGGTGCAGAAGTAAGTGGTGGCCCTCACCCAGTGGATGGGGCTACAGGAGGTGCAGGTGTTTGGGGTTGTGTGGGCAAGGTTGTTTTCTAGTCATCAGCCTCCAGTGTAGTTGCCCATTCACTCCTCAGCAAGCAAAGCCTATTGTCAGGTTGCTGGCCAGATCGGAATGCCTTTTGCAAATACTCAAAATGGCCATGCTGTCAGGATAGTCAACAGTCCACAACTCTATTTGTCTCCTTATTCACTGTTTTCATTCAGGTTCTTCTACTAGTCTGCATTTAATCCACTTCTTTATTGTTCTCTTCAAAGCTCAGGGTTGTAAGATTATCTTCTGTATCTATTTCAATTGTTTTCTAGTTTCTTTTTTGTAGTGGGCTTATTTATCTTGTCTGCCTATTCTACCATCTCATGGGAAGCTCTCTCTCTCTCTCTCTCTCTCTCTCTCTCTCTCTGTTTTTAAAAAATTATTTTTGCTTCATTGGAGCCATATGCATAAACAGAGAATGCATAAATTGAGGGTTCACACAATTGTTGAGAATGTGCAGAGTTCCTATGCCCTACCCCTTGCCCACAGCACTGAGCCAAAGCCCTTGGCTCGAAGAGGATGAATCACCTAGCAGCCTAAAATGCCTTATCTGAGCCTGCCTTTCCAGCCATACTTCCCACTGCTCTGAGCACACAAACCATTCTCCAGCTGTCCCACACCATACCATAGCCTTTCTCACAAAGCACCTGAACCTGCTACCAATCTCTCTGAGCATTTGCTTATACCATATCGTCCTCTGGAAATGACATTCCTCCTCTCTCCATTGGTTAGTATTCACTTTGTTAAAGACTGCACTTAAATGCCACCTCTCTGATGACCCAAACCCATTTGCAACTCCTTTTTCTGCCCAGAGCTAAATTGATGCTTTGGTTAAACCCTTCTTCATGCACATATTCATCCACTCAAATTTTAACACCTGAGTGGAGCTACTCTGGGCACAGTCCTCACTCATTGACTTCAGGAACTCAGAACTCATTTGGACACAACCTAAGGAAGGACATTCTCTCTCCAGAATCACACAGTCCTGCAGGAGCTAGACATGTAAACCTGTACAAGTTGAAGGACATTCTAGGTCTTTTGTAGAAATAAATAGGATTTCACTTCCACTGGGGTAGATAAGGTGAAGGGAAAGGCATGCATAGAGGGAACAGTATGTGCAAAGATGAAATGGCCTACTGTACAATGGGAATACAAGTAATTCAACCTGTCAGAATAGGAGCTGAGGGTACCCTGCTAACAGAGACCAAAACCAGTTGTTCTGTCAGAGATGTGTTTAGTTAGCTGAGGCATTCACCTGCTTTTTCATTCTTTAACTTTTCCATAATAACCTAGCATAGAAATATAGATAGAAGAGATGGAGCTAGATATTAAATAGTATGTCTGACTCTCACCCACTGTGTGGTGTGACTTCTGATATCACCCCATCAAGAACCCCTCAAGTCACTTTCCATTGCCTACTCATCATTCAAATCTTTCTTGCTTTCAGTAGTTACTCACTAAGCACTTAATCTGTGTCATGCCTAGCACTAGCTGATGTTGAGAACCATCTAGTGACTCACAGGCACATGGTGCTTACTATAAACAGGGAAAACAGGTAGAGAGTACTAACACAACATAAAAGTGCTCTTTCAATGACAACAGGGGTATGATGGAAGACATAAGGAAAGCAGAAGGTAGTGAAGGAAGGCTCCATGGAGGAGTTGATGGCTGATATGGGTGTTTAAGGATGAAATAATTTTTCAAAGTGAGGGAGTCCTATGGGAAAAGGAAGGCATTCTAGCAAAGTGAGGACTGCATGACAGAAGGAATGGAGGCAAAAAATATTCAGCTCTGTGTAGGGAAGCAAGGCATTTGACTGCTAACCAGACGTGTGGTGGTTCAAACCCATCAGCCACTTCACAGAAGGAAGATTGGGCAATCTACTTCCTTAGAGATAAAAAAAAACAAAAACAAAAACAAACTCATTGCTGTTGAGTGGTTTCCAACTCACAGTGACCCCTCCTTGGGTTTCTGTAGAGATACTGCCTTGGA